ACTAGACCGTACAGATGGGCACCTCCTGAAATCCTGCCAAGATCAGTCAAACAGGAAGGAGACCGGAACATGGCAGGCGTGGGAGCCAGCAGGGAGGAGAGTGGGGGCAGCGATGCAGGGGTGGGGCGCACAAGCGTGTGCACACACCTGGACACAAGGAGGGTGGGGGAGGGGGATGCAGGTGTGTGAGCCCCCCTCCCCCCCATTGCTGTGGTCGTACAAACCGCAACTTGCCATCAGCTGAACGTCTGAGGAGGGGCAGTACTGTGGCACAATACTAACTCCGAGAGTTGACCCCTTTGTGGTTTCATCTGTACCTAGTAATTTATGAAAATATATTACTAAGGTGAACAATGGATGTACACAAAAAGTTGAAATTATGTTTGAAATTGTGAATGCAAAGGTACTTTGAAACTAATGAATAAAAAATTTGCCAAATTTATCAAAACTTTTAGGACTTATTTCAAATTTGGCAACATTTAACATACCACCTGGAGCTTTGTGCTGTGGACATCTGTGTTTGGAGATAGGGCTCCCTGATAACTTCCTCAGCCAAGATGGGTAGAAATGAGATGGCTGTTAAAGGGCTTTAAGCTTTTTCCTCCTTAAAACTAAGAAACCAAAATCTTGATTAAAATTTTTTTTGACTTCTCTTTTTGGCGGACCGAACAGCCTCCTGTAAAATGTTGGATGGAAATAGCGAGCCCCTTTGAAATGCACAGGTGAGCCCAAGCACGCTCAGGAAAGCCTGATGGGCGACTGTCCTAGGGCAAGGACAGGTGGGGGTGGGAGGGACCTGATGCCCAGGGTGGGCTTTCACATCCACGTGGGACAGGTGGGGTCTGGACAAAGGGTGCAGCCTCAGTGTAAGAGTGGACGGGGCAAACAAACAACAAAGCCCCAGAACAGTTTCTCCCAGGTACTGGGAACCCTGAGTCAGGGAAGCTCCCCACCCAGGAGCTCATAGCTGCGGGCCTGCATTTCACTTGGGAGTGACCCCTCCTCATCCTGGAAGCTCTCACTGAACCCTTTTGGCAGAAGCAGCCCCAAGGATGCTTGTAGGAAAGACCCCGGCCTTGGCAGGAGTGCAGAGTGGGGGTGCAGCAGCTGGTCCTTGTCTGTTCTGGGAGAACAGGGACCTTGATTCGCTCTAACTTACACCTCGTTAAGAGCACATGTCAGCGATAGCCACCGAAGCAGAGTTGTAACTTCCAGACAAATCGGGGGAAGGAATACAGGAAACACAGGCAATCCCCTAGGGACATAGGAAAGGCCAGAAATACCAGAGGGCCTGTGTAACTAGAGACACAAGAAGTAGAAACACATGCAAATATACCAATTATCAGAGCACAAGTAAATGGACTGTAAAACAGCCAAACATGGAAGGAACGGGATGGTCAGTGTGCAGGGGTTTGACGTGTAGTCAGGGCCATAGAAAGTTGATGGGGCAAGATAATATCAGACTAAGTAGGCTTTATGTCAGAGGCACTCAGTTATTTCTTAAGATGCTAAATGCATAAGCCATAAAGAAAAAGACATTTAAAATGTTAACCTCTTGTATGCTATTTATGGAATCTCTAAACGAAAAGACAAGCCACAGAGAAAATCTGTAACTGAGGAGACGCTGCTATCCTGACATAACGAGAACGTGCAGAGACCAACCAGATGGGCACACGAGTGCAGGAGAGACTGGAAGGGGCCCGAGCAGCACTCCCGGCTGGAGGCCAGACCAGTGGTGCCTCCCTGTATCCTTAGGAAGGCCTTGGGGCCCCCTCATGCCCTGCAGCCCGCACGAGCCTCAGACTGCAGCCCAGGGTGCTTCCCACATGGGCCCTGCTGTGTCCCCTCTCACCCAGGCCTCTGTGACCTTGTCCCACCCACTCCTTGCCCTCTGGCTCCCAGACTAGCCCCAGCCCTGCAGGCTGCTGTTCTTGTGACTCTCAGTGTGGCCTTGGTCACCTGGGCTACCCTGCCCCAGTCTGTGCAGTGCCCGTGTCCTTCTGCCTTGCAGAACTTGGTTCTGTGGTCACGTGTCAGCACCCTGTCCCTGTGCACACTCAGGGATGTCAGCTCTAGCACAACACCGACCTCTTTCTTTCCTTGCTGTGTCCCCGGCACTGTCACAGGCCTGGCACTCAGCAGAACCTCAACAGCACTGCTGGTGGACATAAAACAACTACCAACCAGGGCGCCTGGGTGGCTCAGCCAGTTAAGCATCCGACTTCGGCTCAGGTCATGACCTCACCGTTGACGAGTTCAAGCCCCACGTCGGGCTCTGTGCTGACAGCTCAGAGCCTGGAGCCTGCTTGGGATTCTGGGTCTCCCTCTTTCTCTGCTCCTCCCCTGTTCATGCTCTCTCTCTGTCTCAAAAATAAATACAAACATTAAAAAAAAAAAAAAAAACCCACAAAAAACAACTACCTACCATTCTGCCCCCAGGTGGACAAAACCAGTGTGCCCAGTGATTCCAAGTGTCGCAGCGACAAGAGGCCTGGTGGGGGCTGGTGGGGGCTTGTGGACTGATGTCCCTCAGACTTCATACTCGAGACCTGCTCTGCTGGGCCATGGGGACGGGACCAGTGCCCCGAACAAAGAGGCTGCACAGAGCTCCCCAGCCCCTTTCTCCATGTGAGTGCAGTGACTTTATGGCCCTTCACCAGGCCTGCAGCACCCTAATCACAAACCTGCACACGCACACACATGCACACACTCACGGGGGCCAGGTGTCTGCTCCCTCAGGACAGGTCAAGTCTGGGGGACCCTAAAGGCACCTGGGAGGGTCCCCCACCCCTCAACGATGGGTAAGAGGGGGCTGGTGGGTGGAGGGAGGGAGCTCTGCTGAGGCCACAGCACGCGGGGCCAAGCACTCAGCCTCCTGCCTGCATCTTTGGGCCCCAGCATTTTATTTTTGCCTTTTATCCAGCGGTAAAGGACTGTCTCAGAATGAAATGAATCAACACACCGAAGGAAATAGTTACTTCATCTGGAAAATCAAGTAGACATTTCTGTTTGTGGTAAACATGAACTAACGTGATTTATTTTATATCAATATTGCATATTGAATACAAACCATACTATCAGGAATATATTTGAAAGCTGTTTCTAAAGGCACTGAGAAAACAGTATAAAAAGTTACATTATAATATTTCCATTTTAAAAAATTCAGCAAGTCAGTCTAGATATTAAAAACTTTTCTCCTCCAGTAGAAACTATAAAAATATATAATTTGTGTTCATCTCCTCCTGTCCATCCATTCTCATGTTACATTTGATTTTCATATGTTTTCAGCTACATAAGCAAAAGCTACAAGACACAGAAAACCCTAACCCTGTAATTGGTACTGGTAATGACATTTAAAGAGGAAGTGACCACATCTGCACCTCCTACGTGCCATCATCTTTCCACATGACGTTTCAAGAAGGGTGTGGCTGTGAAATAACCAAAGTGCTGACTCAGGGTCATTCTGCTGGTGTTGACCCAGGAGAGGAGGGGACCTGGGCCCAGAGCGTTCAAGGGCCCCGGGTGTATGAGGGGCATCTCGGGAGGGGACCTGGGCCCGTTGAGTTCAAGGCCCCGGGTGTAGGATGGGCATCTCCAGAACACAAGACCTGCAGAGCTAACTTCCAGGGGCCAGACTCTCTGTCAACAAAGCAGGACCTGTCCACCTGCGAACTGACCGCTTGTGGGGAGGGGGTGGCGTGGCTGCCACGGCCCTCGGGGACAGGCGTGACTTGCTTCAGGGCGGCGTCTCGCCTGAGGCTCTCACCTGCCGCTCCTCTTTGGTTATGCTGGGGCCTGGCTACAATGTGCAAGCATGCCATGATGTCTCTGAATTCCACCTTTTCAGTCCTGTGTTTTCTGAGGTACCTGCTACATGTGTGTCTACTGCATCCTGACACAGGGGAGCCCTAGTGCATCGCAGGACATGGCCCCAGGCAGCCAGCCTGGGCCTGGGGTGTGGCCTCTCCATTGATGAAGTGAGAGGGCCAGTGACCTCACAGATGGGGACCCCAGACAGGTGCACAGTCACATCTGATAGAGGGCCAGGACCTGGGCTCTGGGTTTGACTAGTAAAGAAGGAAGAAGATTCTGCAACTCCACCCCAGGTCTCAGGGAGTAAGTCTCCAGACGCCCAGAGAGCACAGGCGTTTGTGCCCTGCAGCAGAACCGGGTGAGGAGGGCCTGGGGCCAGCCAGAGGTCCCCAGGTGTCCCTGGGTGGTTGTGCCACCATCGTAATGGTCAGGGGAGACTCTGGCAGCAGAAGTGAAGACAGCACAGCACCAGTGTCACCCTTTGCAAGGCCTCAGTGGGTGAGGAGAGGCTGCTGGGCTGGCCTTGTGTGTCCCAGAGGGCCACGCATTGACCACGCCACACCCTGGGCTCCAGTGGGTGGCCTCCCGTGTCAGCCCCAGGAAGAAGCCCTCAGCTCCCAGCATCCCGCATGGGGGACCCTCCACAAAGCTGGCAACAGGCGCGCCGGTGCCCCAGGGTGTGTCTAAGGGTCCTGCCAGCTAAACCCCTAGTTCTAACAAGGCTTCAGCATTAGCCCAGCTGAACATTGATACCCCAAAGCCCTAGGTGATGGAGAAGAAGACCCCACACTGAAGGGTAGAATGTACCGATGGCGGAGAAGCAAGTCCCTGCCTGGAGGCTCCCGCCACCTCCTGAGGCTCCCAGATGGGGGTGACTTGGGGTGACTTTAGGAACAGATGCCCTTGTCCCTGAGGAGCAGGTGTGCGTCCACCACGGTACAAGCGGGCTCGGTGGAGACCTTCATACCCTGATGGCACACCCCTTGCCGATGGCACTGGCAGGGAGCGGAGGGGGCCCATCTCTGGTGGTGACCGTGGGGGAGCGGAGGGGGCCCATCTCTGGTGGTGACCGTGGGGTGACTGGGACTCCATTTTCTGATTCACAACGTTGTGTCTGGGGATCCTACAGTTGGGATGTGTGGGTGTACAGTTCTAGAAAACAATTTCTGTCTTGTCTCTAATGATTCTTCCTGAGGTGGTGGTTGGAATCCCCATTTGAAAACCTGTATACAGCCAGCAACACAGCCTCCATGGACAACTTGACTTTTTTTTTTACCTCTTTTCTCTACGTTTTGTCCTTCTCTCTGCTTCCAAACCCAGAGTAAACTCGAAATTACACAATGTACTGGAGACAGATTAGCATAAACCATCTTCAGAGGCCCATTAAAAATTCCAGAGACTTCCAGAAGGAACAGGATATCATCCTGTCAATTTCCACTCTGGGTGTGGCCTCAACCTCCACCGTGAGGTCGAGGAGCACGTGCTACGTGTAGTAGTGAGGGCAGGACCTGGTGCAGACAGGCTCTTTTGCCTGGAACCTTCCAGATTCCTTCCGTGAATGGGGGCATGGTCACCTGTGGCTCAAAAGATTATATCCCTAATTTGTACCCAGGGTGTGGCTGCTCTCTTCAGTCCACTCCGTGGAGGCGTCGACCCGCCTCCACGGCGCAGGCGGAGCTGGGAGGTGAGCATGGGGATCGCGGGAGACCACACCGCGTGACTGGCCAGGTGCCCACTGCGTCCTGGAGAGAGGGGTGTGCCCTGCCAGGCTGACACGTCTCACTCTGGCCACTTTCTGGAAAATTGTGAACAGACTTAACACCACTTGGCATTGAAGGACTTGCGTGACATTTTACAAAGTACGCAATATGCTATTGCACACGCTGCCCACACCTAAGGAGGCCTGGACTCGTGCAGCTTCGCAGAACGGCTCCGACCCCCCACCTGCCATCGCAGCTGAGGGTAAGTCTGGGCGTGCGGAAGAGGCTAGCTCTTAGAAACACCCACCCTACGGCAGGAAAGCACACTCGGGGGCTTTGGGGGGCATCAGTGTCGGCAAGGCACTTCTGGGGAACATGCCGGGCACCCCACCCTGGCTGTGGCTTGCCCATGGGGGTGAGTCCAGGGGCTCGCGCTTGACAACGGGTGTGGTGCCGGGAGCTCTGCAGTCACGGCCCAGTGTAGGGGGCTGGTGACCGTGTGCACGGAGGTGGCGGGGAGGATCTGGCTCGGGAAGGCCATGCACATGCTGCGGGCAGGCACAGCGTGCGGGGCGGGAGGGCGCCGGCTCCTCGCCGGGTCTGAGTGGAGCCCTGCCGCTCAGGTGAGCCCCCAGCATGCTGTGCCCCAGGTGCGGAGCATACAGGTGGGGTCTGGAGTCTGACTCCGTCTTCAGGTGTATCCTGGTAGGGAAAGTGACCAGCTGTCTCTTGGCCACACCACCGGCTCCCGGCCACACCTGGCCTGGGGACACGAGGTAGCCGTCTGCCGCGTCCTCAGACCCAGAGTCGTTCTCCAGCTTGACGGGCACATCAAGTGACAGCACGGGGTTGCACGGGGCTCCCGCGGGCACCGGCCCCCCTCGAAACTTGGCGTCCTCGGTGGAATAGCCCCCCCTTGCGAGACGCTGCCCTCCGGGCGGAGGGAGCCCGTTGTCCAGGCTCCCCTGGGGAAAGGGGCAGCTGGGCAGAGGGGGTCCCTTGCAGCCGTCCTGCAAGGCTCTGCTCGTGCGGCTGGCATAGGCACTGGGAGAGTGGCTTCCTGGGTGACAGCCGGGTGAATTCCGGAAAGCAGTAACCCCACTGCTGTGGACAGTGCCCTGAACACCGGGGCAGGACACGCAGGAGCCGCGGGACACGGTGTGTGTGGAGAACGGGTCGCTCTTACTGGGTCCCAGCTTCACGTTGGTGCCACCATCTGGACCATGTTTCCCTGTCATCCAGTTCAGGTGCCTCACGGGTCCAGGCGCCTCAAAGCAGCAACTATACGCAGGTCTTTCCCTCCGCCCCCTGGCTCCGGGAGTGCTGCCAGGCACCCCCCCGTGCTCCTCTCCTCCCCTGTCCCTGCAGAGAGGAGAGGACCCATCAGAGCAGGAATGAGGATCATCGCGCCGACTTGGGTGGGGTCTCCAAGGGAAGGCACTGGATTGGCATGATACCGGCTGAACCTGCGAGGGCTGCAGTGTGCGGGGGCCCAGCCACAGCCCTGCTTTCGGCCCACCCAGCAGCCCTATGACCCTGGCACCGGCATCCTCCCGTAATGAGCCTCCCCTGGCCTGTTGGATGACCTGGGGTGCCGGACAGGAGCAGGGAGGGCGTGTGCCACTCACCCCGCCCTAGGGAGGCACCTCGATGAGGCGTACGCCTTGTGTCAAGGGTCAGACACACCCAGCCCAGACGCAGAGGGCCCCGTCGAACTGTAAGGCAGACAGATGCCCTCTCTCCAGCGGCTTCTGTGAGCCAGACCCTGCTGCTGGCACGCAGGCCTCCACCTCACCACGCCTTGCGGTGCCAGGGCTGGCACCTGCTGTGACAGGGCAGACGGTGCTCCAGAGGAGCAGGTGGAGCCCTGCAGCCACACAGCCAGGCCAGTCCTCCAAGAGGAGACCCCCCTGGTCGGGGTGGGGGCTGGGGCGGGGGCCCATGGGAGGAGGGAGTGAAGAGGGTTTCTGAGTGAAGGTGAGGGCAGAGGACAGGGTGGTCACCCACGGTCCCGGCTTCAGGTTGAGGGTGAGTGCACAGGTCGTGACAGCCCCGGCTGAAGCACCTGCTGTCCCCTGCCACACCTCAGACATGTGAGGACAGCTCCCAGGTGTGCCCCTGTGCGCCGCACTCCCTCACGGCGAGGCTCACCTGTCATGAACAAAGCCACCAGACCAGCAGACGGCGGCTCTTTGCTCCCTTCACGCACAGCTGGGCCACAGCACCACTTACCCGGCGGCCCCCTCGGGGTCAGAAACGAGGTCCGGGCTGCTCCTGAGGCAGGGACATGGGGCTCTGGCTGGAACCCGGGCCCAGCAGCCTGCATCCGCTTGTGCCTTGAGCGCTAAAATGTTTTCTCCAACGCCCCTCCCTGTCAGGGTTTAGACGGGGGGACGGCAGTCACCATGAGTGGCTCAGCACAGACACCCACACCCTCCGGGGCATCTCCCGGGAACGCACCCCAGCATCAGGAGGCGGCGAGAGCCCCCGAGGGGCACAGACCCATTTCACCCGTTTAAACCAGTGACACGGTGCGTTCGTGAAAGTACCTGCCAGGCAGTGGGGTTTTCCATGCGATGCTGGGTCACACAGACTCGAGGCAGCTTTTGCTCTGCGAAGAACAGATAACAGCAACGTACGTGGAGATGGCGTTTTTGCTGCCGGAAGGAACTAACACCGTGCACGGTGCTGCTGTCACGCCTGGGAGGGGGCGCAGTCATAACTCACACTTTCCGGTTCTTTCTAGACTGTGAAGTCTCTCCGTGGCTACAGATTCCAATTCACATCACTCATCAAGCCAATAAAGGGCTAAAGAAATTGCTTCAGAAAATAGACTTACACATAAAATGCGCTTTTGTTTTTCTCCGCAGGACCAGAATGAAAATACAGTCAATTTTTGTGATTTCCACTAATTGTGTTCCATTAACTCACCACGCACGCTCAGTGACTATGGAACCGTCTTTCCTAGGGCAGTGAGCACACACTCACTCACACAAATCACAGAGCTCCTCGTCTTAGATTCTAAGCAAACTCAGCCTCATAGACACTATTTCATTATTTTCAAAAGACCAAAACAAGCCTCAGAAGTGTAAAGTGACTTCCTTGAGGCCACCTCTCTAGCAGATGTCAGCCTTGGACTCAAGTCCAGGCCAATGGGCCTCAGAACCACAGATCCCTATCCTATATGCTGGTCCCTCTCCATCCTCTGGCCATAGCTGTAAGGACCAGAGACAGGGCAGCAGAGGGGGGGGAGCAGAGATGAGGGAACCAGAAATGGGGGAGCAGACACCGGGGAGCACAGAGGGGGGAGCAGAGATGGGGGAGCAGAGACGGGGGAGCAGAGACTGGGGAACCAGAGACAGGGGAGCAGAGATGGGGGGCGGGGAACCAGGGACAGAGGAGCAGAGACAGGGGAGCAGAGACCGGGAGCAGAGATGAGAAACCAGAGACAGGGGAGCAGAGACGGGGACTACACTGTCATCCTCATCTGCAAACAAGAGCATCTGGTGACAAATTCTTTGGCACACTGCATGTTCACAAATGAGTGCTAAATCCCTTGAATAGGACTTTGGAGGACAAATACTTTAGTGAGTTCGTGAATTGATGCCAGCTGCGGGAGCGCTGGGTGACTTGTGAGCCACAGTCCCCCCCCCCCCCCGCCCCCCGCCAGTTCCCCGCCGCAGGGGCTCTGGCGTAATCAGCCTGCACTTCTGCACTTTCCAGCGCAGGCGCCAGGGGGCAGTAGGAGTCCTCCTTGCATGCCCCCAGGAGCGAAAAGCCAAGGGAGGGTAAGATTTCCGTCTACTTGGTTTCAGGGCTGGAAAAACGGGAAAGAGGAAGCTCAGTGTGGGTTTCAATTATGACAAGCCAAAAAAACCCACAGAAAAAACAAAAAAATGTTAAAAACAGAAAGCTCTGGGATGGTAAATGAAGGTGGGAGTATTTCAGAGTGAGGGGCTGGCAGGGGAGGGGAGGGACAGGGAGAAAGCAGGTGTGGAGACCGGTGGCCTCTGCTTGCGGGCCCGGGTTGTCTCAGGCGGCACCCTCTGGGGTTTGGCACCTTGGAGAGTCAGCTTGCTTCCTCCCTCGCCTGCTTTTAGTCTTCTCCCTCGGGTAGGGCATGTTTAGGACACGGTGCATCTTTCAGAGGGCATATATGTTTATTTTTAAACGTTCCAGTAATTTCCGTCTCAGCATGCTGGCATGGCCACTGCTCAGGGTGGCTCTGTTCCTGGAAGCCACCCCTGGCCCTGCACCTGAGACCAGCAGCAGGGAGGTGGCGGCTCGTGACCTGCAGGCCAAGGCAGACCATGCCACACAGGCAGAAGGGAGAGCCTTCTGAGCCCCCCTCCCCGGAATGGGGGCCCTCCTTCCACTGCAGCTGCTGTCAGATTTTCTCACCATCTAAAGGTCAACTGGAATTAGTCAAAGGTTATTTGTGGACATTGAAGAGGGACGGACCCTCACACCCACAGGAGGGAGAGTCACAAAGAGAAGACCCCTGGGCACTACCTGCCATCCTGGCGCTGCGTGGGCAGGCAAGCAGGAATCCCCTAGACGGGCCACAGAGCCCTGGGACTCTTCTGGAGGGGACCCGGTTGTGGGGGAGATGCTTGGCCAAAGACTCTTCATCCGGACGTCAGCAGACGTGTAAGTAGGACCACAGGACTCAGGGCTAAGAAGGGGATCCTGGTGGAGGCAGTGTCCCCACCGGTGACGTGGCTTCCAGGACAGAGGCACACACACCGCACCCAAAGTGACCCACGGAGGGAGGCAAGCAAACGTGTCAGATGCTGCTGTCACAGAACTAAGCCTCATCGGCCATCACAGACCTGAGAGCTGAGGGGTTTGGACCAGCCCCCTTCCGCACTCAGGCCCATCCCCATCAGGCAGTGGTTTAAGGGACTGATACCTTCCCTGGGGAGGCACCAGGACCTAGGAAGCCAGACACTCTTGGGCAAGGGAGGGGAGAAGACGTAGGCTGTGCACCTACCTCCTAAAAGGGCCCAACGGGGTTAAGGGGCAGGATCTGAGGCTGAGGCTCTCCCTGTTGGTGGGAGACAGGAGGGGGGACAGGGGCTTCCTGGAGGAGGAGATGAGGTCTGGCCAGTACGCACAGCGTCACAGGCAGGATGCAAAACACACAGTGACAGCATGCTGGCGAGGAGGGTGCTGAGCAAGCCTCCCTCCTGGGGTGAGTGCCCCGTGGCCCTGGCAGAGGGGTCTTTGCAGCTGGAAAGCTATACTACTTTGATGTAACTCAACCTGAGAGCCCAGCCCTCCTCCAAGCGATTGGGTCTAAGCCCTGGTGGGTCTCAGTCGATGCAGCCCTGCAGCGGGGAGCTGCTGGCTTGGCTGAGCCCCACTCTAGGGACAGCCACTGAGGGATAAAGAAGTGGGTTGGGGACTCAGAGGTCTGACATATTGCATCTGTAGCAGGTACAGTCAGATCTCAGACACCCTGCCTCCCCACCCCCCTCCCTTGGTCTTACTCATACTGTGTGGAAAACACAATTCACAGATGCACATTTTGAATCACTCTCAGGACACTGACCCACAAAACACAGGCCTAGTCTGTTCCACAAAGTTTAGGTGTGAATCGCCTAGAAAACTCGATGTGGAGTGTTTTCTAGCACTGAAAAGCCGAGAAAACTCTGCTGGGCAGAAGCGGCAGCCGTGTCCCCACTGCCTGGGCACCGGTGCCTCCTGCATCGGTCCCTGCGCTAAGCCCTGTGCGTGGACGGAGGGACCGCACGGAGGAAAGAAGGCTGCGGCCCCCCACCTCCCACCCCATGATGACCAGCGCTCAGGGCACCTGCTTCGAGGCCGTAACTGGGGGATCAGGGACACAGTGGTGCAGGCGCTATGTGGTACCACCACTCGCAAATATTAGTGTGAAAGCACTTCCTCTGCACATTCTTTCCTACGTAACGTACTAGCTTTAAAATCACCAAACTTCTTAAGTTATTGCTCGCTGGAAATCAAGAAAGAATAGAAGATTCTAAGTGCCAAGGCTCTTGTTTTAACCGCCAGCAGCAGTGAGCGTGGCTGTGTTTTAAGGGACTTTCACTCACTTTGCGTCCACTGAGCCTGAGACGTCCACCCTGTGCTTCACTCTCAGAAACGCACTCTTCATTTTCATCTCCGCCACGGAAGGAAGGAGGACGGGCACCACGATGCAGAACAGTGACAGCCGAGGGGGCAGGACTGTCCCTGATGGAGTCTTCCTCTTCTGTCCAAACAGGAATTTTAGTTTTCCTTGAAACTGCATTGTCTGGTGTGTTAAAGACAGAAACGGAGGTGTGGTCACAGAGCACATTAGCAGCGCCATCAGAGAATGCAGAACTTCTATTCTCAGGAATAGAAATGTGGAGAAAAATCTTATCCTGAGCCACTTAGGAGACACAAACCAACAGTTCTTCCACACTTGGCCTCCTGGGGATGTGGACTATCCCCAGGCCTCCAGGACAAGTCACAGTTTCTCTGGAGTCTCCATAATCCCCTTTAACTGAAAAGCATGTTCTCGTGTGCACATTTATGTGTATGTGGGGGTGTGGGTGTGGGAGCTGAGCCTCACACTCTGGGTGCTCATGTGCATCAGCGTGAGATGTCACTGGCCCATCGCAGAGCCATCAACCACCCCTGGCAGGATTTGCTGGAGGGGGTAGTCTCTGAGGGCTGTTCCAGATTTGACTCTCCATTTCAGAATTGTCATTCCTTCACTCATGATGGTAAAGCTTGGGGACAAGTTCATTTTATCCAGAGTATATGACATGAGTTAAACAGCCAGCAAGTAATTTAGGAGTTTGTGATAAAAGAAAATAAAAGATCCTTCTACAGTGGAAAAGCTAATCTAAATTACTAAGTGACTTCAGGGCATTCCTGATGGAATGACCCCACAGGGCACGTGGGTGGCTCAGTCCATTGGTTGAGTGTCCAACTGTTGATTTAGGCTCAGGTCATGATCTCAGTTTGTGAGATCGAGCCCTGGGTCAGGCTCTGTGTAGAGTGTGGAGCCTGTTTGGGATTCTCTCTCTTTCCTCCTACCTCTGTCCCTCCCCTGATCATTCTCTCTCTCTTTCAAAGTAAATAAACATTAAAACAACCCCACAATGTGTCCTTTTCTCCCCTGTCCTTCCACCCTCTCCTCATCCCTCCCCTCATCCACCCCCTCATCCATCCATCCATCCATCCATCCACCATCCATCATCCACCATCCATCCATCTGCCATCCATTCATCCATCCACCATCCATTCATCCATCCATCCACCCCTCTATCCCTCCATCAATCTATTTTCACCATCCATCCCCCCATCTTCCCATCTTCCATCCATCTATGGATTCACTAAATGAACAAACATTTGCAAAGCACCCGCTGCTTGCTAGTCATGTGCTTGGTGTGGAGGATTCAAGGCAGTTGTGTTCAACATCCAGCTCACCAGAGGGGAAAAAAAAGCCCTGATTTGTTATGTTTGCCAATTTCTTTGGTAGAAATATTCCCATCACGGCTGATTTCAAGCTACCAACTAAATATCAACTAGACCTCCAAATTCCTGATGTTGTAACACTGGGTTCTCACGGGCAGCCTTAGCCAGTGGAAACAGAGTGGCTTCCAGAGAGTCACAAGGGAGTGCCGGGAAGAGCCCTAAGTCATGCCCGCTCCCCTGTTCTCAGTGCATTCCTTGTAAGTGCCTGAGGCATTTCCGGTGTGTGCAGAAATGAGTTTCACAAATTAATATAATGGAACTTTTTTCAGATAAGTGTCTTTGGGTTGTTTCCTCTATTCAGTGCATCATTTTACAGTTTCATTTTAACCTACATTTTATTTTATTAAAAAATTTTTTTTGATGTTTATTTATTTTTGAAGGAGAGAGAGACAGACCGTGGAGGAGGAGGGGCAGAGAGAGAGGGAGACACAGAATCTGAAGCAGGCTAAAGGCTCTGAGCTGTCAGCACAGAGCCCGATGCAGGGCTTTAACCCATAAACCACGAGATCATGACCTAAGCCGAAGTCAAAGGCTTAACTGACTGAGCCACCCAGGTGCCCTCTTTTTTAATCTATATTTTAATTTATGCATGATTGTCTAGTAAAATACCTCCAGTTTTATGTCATCTGGAAATAAGAATTTCCAATTTACTAGAAATTGGTTATCCAATTTTAAAAAGTGAACATTCCTTATCAGCCAATAGATAGAACAAAATATTATCAAAATAAAAGACTTCATGCTCAACCAATCACCTAAATAAAAGATAAGCAATTATGTGTACGCCTGGTAGCAGCAGACTTGGGACCATGTTGCAAATAAAAAGCTGCTTCTCTTATGAAGGTCCCGGTGGGGTGAAAAGGCCTGCAGAAATGTGCAGTCGTGTGGGATGCATCTGCCGTAGGGCTGGGCCTGTCCTGGGCCCTCAGAGCTGGTTCCAGAAACATTCTCACTGTCACCCACCAGCAACCTTCTTCACTATCCCCTTGGATCAGGGAAATAAGCCCAGGGAGCGTGAAGCCGCCATCGCAGTAGCGGATGACTGAGGCCAAAATATTGCCACAAATGACACATGGCCACTGGGAGGCAGCCTGGATGGAGTGATTCCCTCAGCTGTCATCCCTCTGGGTAAATGCACAGCCACCTGGCAGAGTGGGTTCCCAGAATGGGTGATGTGGGACCCTGGGAGGGCAGCATCTTGGGTGAGGCCTCCAAACTGGAGAGGGGTCAGCCAGGCGAGGCTCCCGGAGAAGGACATGTGAAGGCAGAGGGGGTCCTGAGTCTTGGGGAGAGTCCCCAAGACCACCCCAAGTTCAACTCACTCTCGCTGGTCAGGGCGGAGCAGAAAGTTGGGGAGGCTGGGCAAGAAGAGCTTCAGGAAGGACATTACTGGGGTGCTGACATCTGGGAAGGGGCCTGGGTGTGCAAGGGAGGGACATTTTTATTTCTTCTGCTCTTCTGAAATGATTAAATCTGTGTCATGTACGAGCAATGTTTTTATTTAAAAAAAAAATTGCTAATGCATAAAGACCAGCCAAGAGGAGAGGGTTAATGGAAAATACTGTCTCCCCGCTGAGCCTAGCCTGTGGTGGGGCTATGCAGTCAGTGGGTCTCTGATCTCAGAAGTCTGCTCCTCAGCCCGGCACCCACAGACCACTCAGATGTAGAACCGCTAGGGCGTGCATCTCCTGGGGGCCCCTCAGAAAGCAGCTAGGAACCTCGGGGGCTCGCGGTCTGCACGGTGGTGCACACGGCCGGTGTGAACACAATGGAGAGGAGCCCACACGAGGTGGGACAAGCCAGCAGGCAGGACACCCAAGAGCTGCTGTTGACTGCTGACAGCCGGTGTGGGCTCCTGCTGGTCTGTGGGTGCCTCTCCAGGGCTCCCCCTTTTCAGAGCCATTTGGAACCCAATCCGGAGGAACGCCCACTGTCCTCTGCTCGCCTTGCCTCCAATACAGGCTGAGCCCCTCTGGAAACCCCCAGCCCAGCCCTGCGGAACACTGGAGGCGCATCTCTCCTGGGGACCAGGGCCCAGGTGGGGAGATAGAACCCCGAGGGGCCCACAGTCCGAGGGTGGAGGCTGGGGAGGAGGGCACGCCGTCATGCGGGTGGGGGCAGCTCCGCACACATCCGAGGGCCCTGCCCAGGGTGCTGATGGCCGAAGGACACTGGAGTGGGGGGAGCTGGAGGGGGAGGGGGTCCTGGGGTCAGAGGTCATGGTGTTGAGCTGCTGCAGAGGGTGGGACGCTGGGACTGCTGGGAGCGCGAACCCCAGGAGGCTGCGTAGAGCCGGCTGGGAGGTGCAGCAGCGGGGGCGGGGGAGACGCTCTGTGGAGCACAGCTGGGTGCGGGGTGCGGGGTGGGCAGAGGTCTGGGTGGCCGAGGGTCCGCCGTGCCAGCCCCAAGGAGGACGTCCGCGGCCCCCCTCTCAGCCCTTGGCCGAGGAGCCCGAAGAGCAACGGAAACGGACGCCCCAAGCCTCTACTTGAAAGAGAAGAGGTGAAAACGGCAAGCCCGGGCCGAAGTGGGGGCTCGCGCCAGGTTGCGGGGTGTGCTGACGACACGCTGCTAAGGGGGTTTCGGGGAAGGCGCGACCAAGCCAGTAAAGCCCAGAGCGGGGTCTGGAGGCTTCCTCCCGGCCGCCCGTCCCGCCCCCGGGCCCGCGTGCGCCCCGCCGCGCCCCGGTCCTCGTGCGCCGTTCGCCACCCCCCTCCCCCAGGGTCCGCATGCACCCCCCGCCGCCCCCACCCCCGGACCCGCGTGCCCACCCGCCCCCTCCGCTTCCTCCACCCCGCACGTGCGCCGCGGGGCGCCAGGGGGCGCGACTCACCAAGAAGCCCGAGGTGCTGTCCAGCAAGCAGCGCACGCGGCACACGAAGCAGCGCGTCAGGAAGGCCGAGAAGTCCGCCTCCTGCGCCCGGAGCAGCCGCCCCAGCACCGCGTCCTCTGCGCGGGCACCGGTGCGGGGGTGAGGGGTGGGGGGAGGAGGAGAGAGACCGAGAGACCGTAAACACAGACTGACAGCACCGCGGTGTGCACACGCGCTCCCCCCTGCACGCGCGCACACACACGCGCGCACACACACACGCCTGCCCACCTTGCCGTGTGCGCGCGCACACACCCTGCTTCACACTCACAGCTCACTTTACACACCCACAGCCTGCCTCCTACACCCACACCCGGGCTCACACATCTCGCCACACATACACTCACACACACACCTGCCCGCCACGCATCCCCACACGCCCACCCCGTCCACACAAATGCCCACCTCTACACACACCGCCCCACCCCCCACCCCCTTGCAAGCACACACAGGTGCACGGGTGCTCCCCTGAGCACCACTGGCATCCGGCTGTCTCCCCACCCTCGTCCTCACAGACACAGCCACTCTGACCGAGCTGGTCTTCCTTGTCCTTTGTCCCTAGAAACATCCGTTCAGTACAACTGCAGGGGTGACTGGGGGTCAGCTGTCGTGTGTTTTGAGCTTTATAAAATGATACTGTGTTGGCACCTGGGTTTTTTTGTTTTCACTCAGCTTTGTGGGGTAAATATTGCTGTTGCCTGAGGTTGTGGTGGAAGCTTTTCTTGAGTCGTTTACAACTTCTGGGGGAGTGTGTGGAAGAGCGGCGACCCCCGTGGACGCCACCCCTTCCCTTGGCCTCCTGTCTGCTCCACGACCTCTAGGGGAGCTGGCCTGGTCTTGGGTCAGGGGCCACGGTCAGGAGGAAACACTTGCCCACAAGGGGCAGTGTCTCTGAACAGGATTTTTTACAGGTAAATCTGACTTGGGCCTAGGATTTCCAGAGGGGAGCTTGCCAGGTGACAGACAAGCACTGCCTCATTTCCTCAGGTGTGGAGGATGCGGGAGGGGTGGCCCTGGAGAGGGGAGGAGGGTGCGGTGGGGGGGGGGCCGGGGAGGGGGGGAGGAGGGTTCGGGAGGGGGGGGTGGTTCGGGGATGATGGAGGGGGGGGGGCCTGCAGAGGGGAGGAGAGTGCAGGAGGGGGGGCTGGAGAGGGGAGGAGGATTCGGAGTTGGGGGGTCTCCCAAGGAAGGCGAAGCAGGACGAGAACAGATGGTGGTCAGTTCTCCGGAGGCGCCCACGCCTTTCCAGGAACGGCCCCAAGTCTCAGGCTCACTGGGGACCCGAAGACCCACCTGTGTCTGAGTGCAGGGGCTGCCCAAACACCGCCTGGGGAGGGTCCATGGCCCAGTGCAGCTGCCGGCAGAAGTCCTGGCGGTCGTCCACGTGGATATAGTCATAGATGTTCTGGTGCATCACGTCCGTCTGCAATATTGCAACAACTGTTCCAACCTGCTTTATTCCAGTGATTAGTCATTGAAGAGCTGTCTCAGCCACAGCTGTGAAGAGAAGTCTCACAGGAAAGGCAGGCCTTTGGCTGGAGGACACTTCCTCCCTGGGAGGACATAGGTGTCCAGCCTGGAATGCCAGGCCCCCCACCCGCCCGCAGCCCCCCACTCATCCACCAGGCAGTGCCCTTGAGGGCAGAGCAGGAGGCTCAGAGATCAAACACCTGGGCCCAGGGTAGCCACTCTTCTCCAGGACTGGAGAACTCATCAAGCTGTGTGTCTATCATGGGGACACTTTGTGTCATATCACAAAAGTTTATTAGGAAAGTGTCCTTAAGAAGTGAGGTGGGAACCGCCAGGTGAGACCAGAGCCATAAGGTGAGACAGGAGCTGCCAGGTGAACTGGGAGCCATCAGAGCACACGAGAGCCCGGCCAGGCCTCCTGGCCAGGGACTTCCTTCATCCTGGCTCCTCTGTGCCTGGCCGCTGCTCCCATCCATGGTACCACGAGGACCTGCAGGTCCCTAGCCCTCTTTCTGCTCCTCTGTCCTCCCACCTACCTGAGCCCTGAACACAGAGGCTAGCCCTCGAAGGTGCCGGGTCCACACTTGGAAGCTGCATTTCAGGGCACAGCGGCCACAACTGTGGGCTACGAAGACTGGCTTCCCAGGAACGTGACTATTTTGACCGTTAGCAGACGTATTCAGAGTGTGTTGATAAATGATGAAGGCCATGCACATCTCCCCGCGACCTTCCCTTAACCTTCCCTCACTCATTATCCGCACGGAGAGCCTGGCCCAACAACACCTGAATAACCTGGCAGGTGCCCTTGGCCTCTTTGGAAAGAGCCATTTCTAAGTTTGCATCATTTCTCAACAGGATCATTACGAAAACTAGACGGAGGGAAAGTCCCTGAAGAATCAAGTCCAGAAACGAGGCTGCTTTTTCAGAAAGTAACCAGTGTACTCACCCAGATGGATGAGACCCGCTGTCTGTTCAAGGGGCCCTACTCTTGCCCATAGCTGCATGGCTAAGGCTCACTGGGATCCCTACAGGTCAAACAACCTCAGGAAAGCGGAAAAGGAACACGACCGTAACTCGAAGGCTGCACTACAATTACCTGCGCACTCCTTCGTCCAAAGAGACGTCTTCAGACAAACAAGTGCTCACAGGCCAGAATGCTTGCTGTCCCTGGTCACGGTTGTCCACGTCAGAGGCTCTGGGTGTGAACGTCAGGCCAACAGGCAGAGACCAACTCCTGGTGGAGGCGAGGGCACCAGGCTTTCCCTCCAGCTCAAGACCTGATGGCTTCCACTCACCTGCCAGCTCCCACCTCATCTGGTGGCCCTGTGATCGCACGTGCCCTTCCCATAGGATGCTTTCCTAATAAAGTGTGATTCAGCATAACACTTGGCTGAAAAGTGCCCACATCATATGCATACAGTGGATGCGTGAGTTCCCAGATCAGGAAACAGGACACAACAGCTTCCCAGAGCCCCTTCCCTCCACCCCCCGGGGCGGTCATGGCACAGACTGCCCACACCGTAGGTCGGTTATGTTCGTAAACGGAATGCTGTTCTTAATGTCCGTCCTCTGTGGTTGCACATCACAGTTGTAACGTTCTCCCACGCCGCGTGTGTGGCGCTAGTTTCTCGCGTCCGTGGGGTGAGTGTCTCCACCTGATTCCACACGCCGCTGCTGTGTCTGAGCGAGTCACGCCCAGGGGTGGGGTTCCTGGGTCAGGGGTGGCAGAGGGCCAGCATTAGCGGATGGCGCCAAGCACCCTTCCAGAGTGAGGGCGCAGATCCACACGCCACTGTGGCGGTGCGTGCCAGCGCAGTCGCTTGACATTGCGGCCGATGCGAGGCGTCCCCAGCCCTCTTCATCCGAGCCGCTGTGGCGGCTGCCACGGTTCCGCACCGTGGTCTTCACCCGTGTGTCGTGAGCCGATGAAATTGTGCATCTTCTCACGTTTTTGGTCTTGAGGTGTGCGTGTGAGCACATGTATGCGTGTCATGTGGGAGTGTGCGTGTCGCCTGTTTGTGTCCTTCTCTCAAATTTCCATTGAGCTGTTTTGCTGATTTGTGGGTTCCTCATCTGCTCTGGACATGGGTCCTCTACTGCGTGGGCTGTGATGCCAGAGCCACTACTCCTTGGCCTGCCTTTCTGCTCTCTTAGTGGACCTCACACGGCCGGTTCATCTGTCTGTCTCCTCATGGGTGGGGTCTTGCCCTCATCATCCTCACCCATCTCCTAACTGGGTCCTGAAGCTTCTAGAAACTTCTGCCATTTATTTATTGTGCATGCTATGAGGTAAGAGCTAGGATCAAGCTCTCTTTAAGTTTTTTAAAATGCATTTATTCGAGAGAGAGAGAGAGAGAGAGAGAGCAAGCACAAGCAGAGGAGGGGCAGAGAGAGAGGGAGAGAGAGAGAACCCCAACCAGTCTCCATGCTGACAGCGCAGAGCCCAATGTGGGGCTCAAATTCATGAACTGTGAGATCATGACCTGAGCCAAAATCAAGAGTCAAATGCTTAACTGGCTGGACCCCCCAAACGCCCCCAGGATTCATTTCTTTCCCGTGTAAATCCAGTTTACCCAGCTCTGTTTGTTGGCAAGATGGCTATTTCCCCACCACGGGACAGCGCCCCCTGCATTGTAAATCCCACACCAGTGCACACGTGCCTGCTGTGAGCTTCCAGTTCTGTCTTGGGGTCTGTTCATCTAGCAACTGGGTCCTACAGGAAGTCTTGTGTCGGTGTGTAAGTCCCAGTAATCACTACTCCTGCCCCCTGGCCCTGGAGACTCCCAACTTTCTGCATTCCCCAAAGCTCGTCTATCTCTACCTAGAAGAGCTGCTTAGTTTTCATGATAATGTCATTACCTCTGTAACATGATCTGACATCTTTATAATGATAATTGGAGTCCTCTGATTCACGGATATGGCACGTCGTTCTGTTTATCTCGTTCTTTAATTTCTGTAAATAATGTTTTATATTTTCTGTGTGAGGTACTAAATACCACTTCGTTGACTCATTACTGCAAATTCTGTATTCTTCCTCCTGCTGCAAATGGATGGCAGCTTCCCCTCTACAGTCTGATGAATGGAAAAGACTGCTGACCTCCGAGCACTGGGCAGTCGTAGTTCCCATGGGAAGTTTGTAACAGGCACTGTCTTTCGGTCATTCTCTCGCGAGCTTTGGTGGGTGACCCCACGCTTTGTAGAATCCCAGAAGGTTGCGTCCTTGGACGCCCTGCCCTGTTCATGTCTCCCCACACCTGAGTTAATTAATGGAAAGGATGTGTGGGATTAACATGTAAGAGGGGCTCTGTGGCTTAACGAAAACAAGAGATAGACCGATGGCGAGGGCATGATAAAACCGGAAAAGACGTTTCTGACTCAGGCAAATTGAAAGACACAGCCAATGTGGACACTTTCTAGGTTGGGCGACAAAGGTATAATAACTACTGTGACATATCTGACTGGTCTTGGTCTCCCTTAATCTCCCGGAGTCTGCTCCCTACAAAGCGGGGTCAGTGACAAGTGGTGGAGAGATCAGTAGAATAAGTATTCAAATAATGTATAAACAGGGACGCCTGGGTGGCTCAGTCGGTTAAGCGTCTGACTCTTGATTTTGGCTCAGGTCACGATCTTGTGGTTCTTGAGTTCAAGCCCCACATCGGGCTCTACACTGACAGTGCGGAGCTTGCCTGGGATTCTCTCTCTGCCCCGCTGCCCCCCCCGCACATGCATACATGGGCTTCTGCACATGCTCTCTCTCTCTCTCTCTCTCTCTCTCTCTCTCAAAAAAAAAAATGTGGAAAAACAGACACAGCTTTGGTCAACTAAAGCCAGCCTTATTTTAGCTCTAAACTACTGTTTCTGGAGTTAAGAATAAAGTCATGACCAGTTTTTACAGCCCCATCCCCGCAGCCCTCATCCTCTTGTGCAAATTGCACACGCACCTGTTACCTAGCCTGTGGGATTCCCAACTGCGCCCATGCCCTTGCCCTGGTTCAAACGGGGACAGCTCTCCCCCAGCTGCCAGCCTTGGGGAGAATGGACCCCTTCTTGAATCAATAAATGTCAACGGCAACTAAAACATGCATCTAAAACCTAGCTGTTCATCAAAATGACTGCTGAACCTGAAGATACTGAAATAATTGGTTCCTGACTTCTGTTAAGTATTTTGCACAAGGAGCTCACGACAGCACAAAACTGTTCTGATATTTTCTGAACATGTTTTACATAAATAGAGGCAATGCCTGATTTAATGGCATTTGGAAACAATTTCTTTATAATAGAAGGCAAAATTTTATTTTACATCCAGCACTTGCAGAATAACCAAGCTCGAAAAAACAGATTCTAGTGAGCACGTTCAGACCTGGGACCAAAGCCTCGCCTCAGGACACTTGCACATCACCAAAGCCACCTCCCGGATTATGGCTAGAGGTAGGCAGTTCTGGGTGTGTCTGGAGAATTTGCAGGGCAACTCAGCAGACAGTGATAGGGACTGAAGTTGAGTTCTGAGCATGGAAAAGGCAGCCCAGACCACGTTTTTCTAGAATCAGACCCCGCACATGCAATCGAGGAGACAAAGAGAGTTTGCCATTTGGGGGCTGGAATCACGTCGTGTCCGCAGCCTGGTGCTGGCCATCTGTGGGTCCCTGAGCTCCAAGCTGCACGAGGGGGCCCCGAGGCCAGAGAGCTGTGCGAGCACAGCAACCTTGAGAGCAGACGTGGGAGGGCTAAAGAGGGGAGGAAGGGCCTCAGCTGGCCATCCAGGTGCTCATGTGTCTGGAGCGGGCGATGCATTCCCCCCACTTCACATCCCCCAACACCTGCCCCGCATGTCTTCAGGAGGTGGAGGTGGACACAAGGACACAGTGATGGAGCCCAGTTGTCACCCACTGCCAGGAGCAGCCAGTGGGAGAAGAACCACGGGCCACCTCCCTGAGGCGTGGCTGGTGGTGGGGACGCCTCCCCACTGCCGAGTGTCACAAGGTGCCAATGCCCCGTGCCCTGCACATGGAAGAAGAAAAGGAGGCTCAGAGAGAGCGGAGCCAAGGCTTGTCCCCGTGGTGTGCAGGGCAGCCCTGGAAGCACCTCCTGGAGATCACACCCACGGCATTTTGTCCACTTGCCACGCGGTGGCCCTGTGTGGGGGGTCCTTGCCGGAGCCACACCTCCACGTGCTGCAGGGGCCAGTCCAGGCCACAGGGTCGGCTGTCACCAGCGGCTGCCCTGTGGAAGAGTGGGTGTGTGCACGTTGTCTGTCCAAAGATTGTCCCGGGGCCAGCGGCAGGGAGAGGCCTGGTCAGTGGCAGCCATCGGTCCCAGGTTCAGGTGGCAGGAAAGCAAATGTAGAGGCGTGTGTAAGACGAGACACTTCTCGGAGTCATCTGTGCAGTGACAGACACTTCAGTTTTGGGAATGATTCAAAGTGACAGTCTTCATGGAAGTTGCATCAAATGTTCCGAGCGGCCTTAGGGGCCTCAGGCAGACTTGAATTTTCATGTGTCATGGACCCCCATTCTCAGATCTTGGCTTCCACCGCCCTTTGCTTCTGGGCATCCCCTTGCTTTTCCACCCGTCCTGTGGGATCTTTGTTTCTAATTCCATGTACTGCCTCTCAGCTCCTTTCATCACTTGGCTCTGATCCCGGATCCTGCACACATTTCCCCTCCGCTGGCGAAGGTGCTCTGGGCACTGCAGGAGGGAGGTTGGGTCCTTTGAGACCACACCCAGGCCAGGTCCGCCTGCAGGTAGCCTCCCCCAGAGTCTGGCCAGCAATCCCAGTGGGCATTTCCTGCTGCCTAACCCTGGCCTGGGGCACCTGGGTGACCTCTCCACCACCCAGGAGCCATGGCCTCACCCTCACCCATGAGGGTGTCTCCAGAATGTGCTCCTTGCTGGAGTGCCCAGCCTCCTGTGGGCCCTGTGGCCCCTCCACTCGCTGTGTCTCTGTCTACGGCTGTACCCCCTTAGGATCCTGTGTTAATGATTCTTTATACGAAACTCACATTAATTCTTTATATTAAGCCAGTCAGATCACTTCACAGTTTCTGTCTCCAGGTAGGACCCTGACAGACAGATACACTGTATACCTCACTTTTCAAAGTTCTATTTTGTTCTTTCTCCAATCTGCCTGTTTGTATATTGCATGGAGTGTGTTTATAATTTTGCACGAAGAAGCCCTCTTCAGAGGGGACATCTTTTTTGGGGACGGCTGTGGCCCTGCAGCTAAGGTCATGTTTCTGCTTCCTGGTGCCCCACGTTCTCATCTGTCCACCACTGGCTCTGACCTGGGGCTCTGAGCTACACAAGAGTGTAAATTTCGGGGCGCCTGGGTGGCTCCATTGGTTGAGCGTCTGACTTTCCCCCAGGTCATGATGTCACGGTTTGTGAGTTCTGGCCCCGCATCGGGCTCTGTGCTGACAGCTCACAGCCTGGAGCCAGCTTTGGATTCTGCCCCTCCCCTGCTCATGCTCTGTTGTCTGTCTGTCGGTCTCTCTCAAATATAAATAAGCATTAATTTTTTTTTTTAAGTATGAATTTCGATTTGGACTTGAAGCTCAAACTTTGGATTTCTCATGAGCGACCTCCTTTCCTTCCCAGAGGCCAGGCCCTGAAGTTTCCTTTTCCCTCCCTGGGCCATGGGTGGGTTTTGTTGTTGTTTTTTTTTTTTTTTTTTTTTTATTGTACCTTTTCTTGGAGGAGGATCCAGCGTTTGGTGGGTCTCAACCCCAGAGCCTTGCCCCAATGTCTGGAATCATTCAGCCTGGGCAGGCCTGCGGCAACAGACCAAAGGAATTACCTGGACATCAATAAGGGCATTTCCAGAACACGTTATTTCCCGAATGTGCCCCATCTCTGGGGTTTCAGACAGTGATGCTGTGGCAAGGTCGCGGCCAGCAGAGGTCAGTGCCCAATACAGTTGTGACACCCTGGACACCTCTCTTGTGACCTTGAGCCCTAGACCAAGCTGGGATGTGGAAATCCTTACCTGATAAAACCTGCGTGATAAGAAAAGCCTGGTTTTACAGGTGTGTGAGGCTGGAAGACAGTAAGCGTGTGCAAACAGTGGGACCCACCACGCCGCAGGCTGAAGAGCTGTGTTTACCTGGTGGAAGCCCAGATAGTCCACGATCGTTGCTGACGCGTAAAATATCATGCCTTCCGCACTCACGACCAGGGCAAAGCCATCGAGAGACTAGAAGAAACAAGAACTTGAGTTGGCTCCTGCCCACATTCTCAGAACCTTCACAATGAGAAAGCGCAAGCATCGTCTCTGCTGCATTTTCGACCATTTCTCCTGTTCCGTAGTCTGTATTTATAACCTCCAGAAACACCCACTGTTGATTTATTTATTTATTTATTTATGGCCGTTTTGCAATAGGTCCCAAGTGTGCAGATGACAGGGGAACTTCATCATGGTTTATAAGCCTCAACACTGTGTTCTTCTTTTTCTAATGATTATAAAACTCATCTTGTACAAAATACAAATATCATCATGGAGAGATGAGGCTCCCAGCAGTACCTGAAACAAAACAGGAGCCTCACTTCACTATATGGACTGTCCCTGTTCACGCACTTTCTTCCAGACTATGTTCTGGTTTTCCTGAGAGTTTTTATCATGAATAAATATCGAACTCCATCAAGTGCTATTTCTACATCTACTGAAACAATAATATAACATTTCTTTAGTCTATTGATGTGGAGAATTTCATGATAGGTCCCTGATGATGAATCGTTCTTGCATATTACAGGATAAGCCTTATCGTCACTTCTAATATGCTCTTGGAAGTAACTCACTTTGCTGCAGAGACGCTCATCTGTATTTAAGGAAAAGCTGGCCCACGAGCGTCCCTCCTGATTTTGGTGTCAGGATCACTAGATACGAGTCAGGCCCCTCTCCCTCTTTTCCATTTCCTGGACCTACTTATTGAAGGCAAGGATAACGTGCACCTTGAAAGTTTGGTTTCACTTCCAAGAGCATTCAGCTTGGGGATGATGGGAGACAGCAAGTGAAAAGGGGAGGGTTTTAGCACCATGTCGGTTTATGTAATGGTTGTTAGTGTATCCAGGTTTTTAATTTTTTCTTTATCAATTAGAGCATCTTAAAATATTTTCCTCTTCATTTTAAATTTGTTAGTGTCTGCTATTCACAATATTTTTGTGATTATTAAATCAGTTATATCCATAATTATTTGGTGTGCGTGCATGTGTGTAGAAAAGTGCGGCATGTGGCTACGCTGTGCCTGACTTCAAATCTTTATTCAAAAAGCAAGCTTTGTAGCTCCGCCCTGCAGTGATTTCCCAGAATCACCAGTAGTGAAGATGCACAAAAGAACACAGCCACCGATTTACACGATCAATGAGCATTTCATCTATCCTGTATCTATCTGTCTATCTTCTTCCTGCTCACCATCATCATCATTACGATAAAGAAAATGATAGCTGGGGGCACCTGGGTGGCTCAGTCGGTTAAGTGTCCGACTGGCTCAGGTCATGATCTCATGGTTCCTGAGTTCGAGCCCTGCATCGGGCTCTGTGCTGACAGCCCGGAGCCTGGAGCCTGCTTCGGATTCTGTGTCCCCGTCTCTCTCTGCCCCTCCCCGGCTCGCACTCTGTCTCTGTCTCTCTCTCAAAAGGAAATAAACATTAAAAAAATTTAAAAAAAGAAAATGATAGCTCACACGGTGCACGTGAGTGTTGGGTACCCTACATGGAATGTCTCATTCAATTCTACATCACCTCCATGCAGCAGGAGGTTGCAACTCTACTCGGCCAGTGCAGAAGCTGGAGGTGAGGGAGGGCATCCGGGCAGTGGAGTTCATAAATATTTCAATTTGTATCTTTAAAATACAGACATTTAGAGACTTTAACTTCTATGAAGTTTGTAGTTATTGGCAGTATCTCACAATACTCATTTCCCTTAATTCTTGATCATGTAGGATACTTTTTTCTTTTTAAATTTTTGCTCATTTGTTAAGTGATAAATTATTGTACTATTTACTATAATTTTAATTTCTTTGATTATTAATGGGATTGATATTGATGAGATTCCACACACTCACTGTTAGCCTGTAGTTCTTGCTTGGCAAACTGCTCATGCATATCATTGGCTAATTTTTCTATCAGGGTTTATAAATATCAATTCCCAAGAGCTTTTAAACTGCTAATATTGAAGATCTCTAGGCATCCTAGGACAGCAGCAGCTGCCACCTAACCCCAAATACCCTCGCTTATAAATGATGGAAAACAACAAGAAAAGTGACACTACACAAATCCATGCCCTTGTCCTGATGAGACCACAGGGAGCTGGTAACTTGCAGAGACATTAGCAGAAAAGAGAGTACTAAATCCTAGTGAGCTATGAAAGGAAGAGAGTGTAGTTTCTCCTTAGGAAACTAGAGTAAAAGAGCCAATTAAATCCAACGTAAATGGAAGAAAGAAAATAACAAGAGTGAAAAAGTCAATGATATTGTTTAAAATTGTCAAATAATGAACATCATCAACAAAGTCAAATTTGGTTCTTTGAAAAGATTGATAAAAGATCAATAAAAGATCAATAAATTTGATATACCCTTAGCAAATTTTATCACGAAAAATACAAGTTACTGACACCAGGGATTTACAATCATGACACAGCCAGGCACCTGAGTGGCTCAGTCAGTTAAGCATCCTACTCTTGATCTCGGCTCAGGTCTTTTTTTTTTTGTAACAAATTCAAATTTCTTTCTTTCTTTCTTTCTTTCTTTCTTTCTTTCTTTCTTTAATGTTTATTCACTTTTGAGAGGGAGGAGGGGCGGAGAGAGAGGGGGACAGAGGATTTGAAGTGGGCTCTGCACTGAGAGTAGAGATCCTGACGCAGGGCTTGAACTCACAAACCACAAGATCATGACCTGAGCCTAGGTTGGATGCTAACTGACTGATCCACCCACGCGTCCATCAGCTCAGGTCTTGATCTCAAGGTTGTGAGTTTGAGCCCCTCATTGGGCTCCACACTGGACATGGAGCCTACTTAAAAACAACAACAACAACAACAACAACAAACCTTCCCACAAAGAAAACTCCAGACCTAGATTAAACAAACAAACAAACAAACAAACAAACAGAACATGGGGCACCTGGGTGGCTCAGTCGGTTAAGCGTCCGACTTCGGCTCAGGTCATGATATAGTGGTTTGTGGGTTCAAGCCCCGCATTGGGCTCTGTGCTAACAGTTCAGAGCCTGGAGCCTGTTTCGGATTCTGTGTCTCCTCCACTCTCTGCCCCTCCCCTGCTCATGCTCTGTCTCTCTCTGTCTCTCAATAATAAATAAACATTAAAAAAAATTTTTTAAACCAAAAAAACCATAAAATGCCTAGGAATAAATCTAATAAAAGATGTACAAGACCTGAATAATCCAGGAGATATGCCATGCTCCTGCACTGGAAGATTCCACATGGTTTAGAGAGCCCAGTCTCTAAAATCGGTCTATGGTGTGATGTGATCCCAATCACAATCTCAGGAGGGTTTTCTTCCCTTTGCAGAAATTGTCAAGCTGATTCTAAATTCTATATGTGCAAAGGGCCCATATTTGCCAAAGCAACTATGTTAAAGAAGAACAAAATTTCAGAACTTACACTGACTTCATGACTTAGCATAGAGCTATGGTAGCCAGGACAACATGGCATTAATGTGTCTGGGACAGCTGGTTGTCCGTATGGAAAAAATGAACACGGACTCCTATCTAATTCCACAGAAATTAATTCAAGCCATAGCTTAGGCCTAAAGATAAAACCTCATAATCATAAGATTTCTAGAAGAAAACAAAATGTCTTCATGAGTCTGGAATAGGCAGATTTGGATAGGACACAAAAACACTAGCCCTTCATGGAAAAACTTGATAAACTGGACTTTATTAAAAGACACAATTTAAAACTGTAGAGACAAGCCACAGGGCACGAAAACAGTATTTGCAGCACATTGACCAAGGACCTCATTCAGAATATATAAAATTCATAAATTGATAGTAAAAAGATGAACGACCCAATTTTTTTAAATGGGCAAAAGACTTGAACAGATACTTTCCTAGGGAGATGGAAGAAAGGCCTGTCTATGATGAAAATGTGTCAACATCATTAGTCATCAGGGAAATGCAGATAAACATCACATTAAGATACCATTTCACAAACACTGGGATGGCTACAGTCAAAAAAACGGACAACACGAAACGTTGGTGAGGATATGAACCATCACCAGTAAGAACGTAAAATGTGACAATCACGTTGGGAAACGGTTTTGAGGTTCCCCATAAACATGAACATGCATTCTCCCCATGACCAGAAATTCCACTCGGTGCTTACCCAAGTGAGATGGGTGTGCTCACAAAAACACCCTAACAAGAATGTTCATAGCGGCCTCCTTCCCAACAGTCACACTCTGGAAATAACCCAGCAGCTACCAGCCCCACATGAGGGCTATCACACAGAGAAAAAGAGCACCCTGCTGACCATGGGGCCTGTGCATCTATTTATAGGGAGCCCAGGGGCAGCCCAAACAAAGCAATGGGATAAACACCAGAAAGCAGTTCCCTGGTGGTGGCAGAGGGAACCACATTAAACGAAAGTAGGAGAAAGTCACAAATAAATTTGAAACCCTAAATAAGTGTGTTTCCCTAGGAAAATACGATGTATCCATTAGAGACAGAAGCCTTACCTGACTGATTTCTCTAGAAGACACAGAGGAAGTTATCAAGGATCCAGCCCACAGATGGCTTTAACATGTAACCACCAAGTCTTAAAGATCTGATTGCATCAATGCCCCATAAATTGTCCCAGAGCATAGAAAGTCAGGGAATTTTTCCACTTATTTTCAGAAGTGTAACACTGACACTTAACTCCGATCAAAGAAAAGTACAATAAAAATAAAATTACAGACCTTTAGTTATTGATGAGAATGTACAAATAAAATATTAGCAAACAGATTCCAATTTCACATTAAGGAAACACAATACATGTGACCAAGTGAACTTATTCCAGGAATGCAAGGTTGACTCAACATTAGGAAACCCATTAGCTTAATACGCATTTATAGATCTACGGGGGATAGTCTTATAATTATCTCCATAGATGGTAAAAAAGCTTTCCACAAAATTCAACATTTATTCTCTATAAAAACTCTTAAGAAAATGGGAATTATAGGCACATTCTTAACATGATAGTGT